CATGCGGGCACTCCCACTGGGGCCTTCGGTGGAGCTCCCTATAGGACTACGCAACGTTGCCCAGGGTGGGTGAACTGCATGCGGGCACTCCCACTGGGGCCTTCGGTGGAGCTCCCTATGGGGCCACGAGGCGCTGCCCTGGGTGGGGGAACCGCATGCCGGCGCCCCCACTGGGGCCTTCGGTGGTGCTCCGTATGGGGCCACGAAGCGCTGCCCTGGGTAGGGGGAACAGCATGCGGGCACCCCCGCTGAGGCCTTCGGTGGAGCTCCCTATGGGGCCCGGCCACGAGAGCGCTGCCCTTGGGCAGGGGTGCCGCATGGGGTCCCCGCTGGGTGGGCCTTCGTGGTGCGCCGTAATGGGGCCACGAAGCGCTTGGCCCGGGTGGGGGAACCGCATGCGGGGCACCCCCACAGAGGCATTCGGATGGAGCTTCCTATGGGGGCCACGAAGCGGCTGCTTGTGGTTCTGGAAAACCGCATGCGCGGATGGGCTGCGGGCACCTGCACTGTGGGCCTTCGGTGGAGCTCCCTATGGGCAACGAAACGCTGCCCTGGTGGGGGGGTGGTCGCATGCGGGCAACCACCACTGGGGCCTTATCTGTGGAGCTCCCTAATGGGGCAACCGAAGCGCATGCCCTGGGTGTGGAAACCGCATGCGGGCAACTCCACGCTGGCAGATTCGTGGAGCTCCCTATGGGGCGACGAATCGCTGCCCTGGGTGGGGGAACCGCATGCGGGCGCCTCCACTGGGGCCTTCGGTGGAGCTCCGTATGGTGCCACGAAACGCTGCCCTGGGTAGGGGGAACCGCATGCGGGCACCCCACCCCCACTGGGGCCTTCGGTGGAGCTCCGAATGGGGCCACGAAGCGCTGCCCTGGGTGGGGGAACCGCGTGCGGGCACCCCCGCTGGGGCCTTCGGTGGAGCTCCCAATGGGGCCACGAAGCGCTGCCCTGCAGGAACCGCATGCGGGCACCCCCGCAGGGGCATTCGGTGGAGCTTCCTATGGGGCCACGAAGCGCTGCCCTGGGTGGCGGAACCGCATGCGGGCACCCCCGCTGGGGCCTTCGGTGGAGCTAGCTCCCTATGTGGCCACGAAGCGCTGCCCTGGGTGGGGGGGGCCGCGTGCGGGCACCCCCGCTGGGGCCTTCGGTGGAGCTCCCTATGGGGCCACGGAGCGCTGCCCTGGGTGGGTGAAACGCAGGGGGGAGGGGGGGGGATGAGAGGGAGGAGGAGGGAGGGGGAGGAGGAGGGGGGGGAGGAGGAGGAGGAGGACGGAGGAAGGAGGAAGGTGGGACGCGGGGCGCTGTCTCTTCAAAACGATGACCCAACGCCTCAGAACGCCACATGATGGTTGGGAACAAAGGAGAAGAAGGAGGAGGAGGAGGAGGAAAGGGGGGGGAGAGGGGCGATAATCGTCGGGGCAGAGGGCCACGGGGCGGGCGCCCACTGGGGCGGGGGGGTGGTGTGCGATGCGACGCGGGATAGAATGCTCGGGGCGGAGGGGGCGCGGGGCGGAGATCCCGCTGGGGCGCCGGGGGCGCGGGGGGGCTCGGGGCAGGGACGGGGGTTCCATTGGGGCGCTGGGGGCGCGGCGGGGGGGGGAGGTGGCGTGCGTCGCGACGCGGGGTAAAGTTGTCGGGGCAGCGGGGTCTCGGGCCGACTTCGGGCGCTGGGGGCGCGGGGGGGGGGGGTGCGTCGCGGCGCGGAAATTCAATTTCCATTCCATTCCATTCCATTCCATTCCATTCCATTCCATTCCATTCCATTCCATTCCATTCCATTCCATACCATTTCCATTCCATTTCCATTTCCATTTCCATTTCCACTTCCATTTCCATTTCCATTTCCATTTCCATTTCCATTTTCATTTCCATTTCCATTTCCATTTCCACTTCCATTTCCATTTCCATTTCCATTTCCAATCCCATTTCCATTCCCATTCCCATGTCCATTCCCATTCCCATTCCCAGTCCCAGTCCCAGTCCCAGTCCCATTTCCCTTTCCCTTTCCCTTTCCCTTTCCCTTTCCCTCCCATTCCCATTCCCATTCCCATTCCCATTCCCATTCCCATTCCCATTCCCATTCCCATTCCCATTCCCATTCCCATTCCCATTCCCATTCCCATTCCCATTCCCATTCCCATTCCCATTCCCATTCCCATTCCCATTCCCATTCCCCTTCCCATTCCCATTCCCATTCCCATTCCCATTCCCATTCCCATTCCCATTCCCCATCCCCATCCCATCCCCATCCCCATCCCCATCCCCATCCCCATCCCCATCCCCATTCCCATTCCCTTTCCCATTCCCATTCCCATTCCAGTCCAGTCCAGTCCAGTCCAGTCCAGTCCAGTCCAGTCCAGTCCAGTCCATTCCATTCCATTCCATTCCATTCCGTTCCGTTCCGTTCCGTTCCGTTCCGTTCCAGTCCAGTCCAGTCCAGTCCAGTCCATTCCATTTCATTCCATTCCATTCCATTCCATTCCAGCCCAGTCCAGTCCAGTCCATTCCATTCCATTCCTTTCCATTCTATTCCGTTCCATTCCGTTCCATTCCGTTCCGTTCCGTTCCGTTCCACTCCACTCCATTCCATTCCATGCTATTCCAGTCCAGTCCAGTCCAGTCCAGTCCATTCCATTCCATTCAATTCGATTCCTTTTCATTCCATTCCATTCCACTCTATTCCACTCCGCTCCACTCCACTCCATTCCACTCCACTCCACTCCACTCCACTCCACCCCACTCCACTCCACTCCACTCCATTCCATACCATTCCACTCCACTCCATTCCACTTCATTCCACTCCACTCCACTCCACTCCACTCCACTCCACTCCACCCCACCACACCACACCACACTCCACTCCACTCCACTCCACTCCACTCCACTCCACTCCACTCCACTCCACTCCACTCCACTCCACTCCACTCCACTGCACCCCACTCCACTCCACTCCACTCCACTCCACTCCACTCCACTCCACTCCACTCCACTCCACTCCACTCTACTCCACTCCACTCCACTCCACTCCATTCCATTCCATTCCATTCTATTCCAGTCGATTCCATTTCCATTCCATGCCATTCCATTCCATTCCAGTCCATTCCATTCCAGCCCATTCCATTCCATTCCATTCCCATTTCCTTCTCCATCTCAATTTCCATTTCCATGTCCATGCCCATGTCCATGTCCATGTCCATGTCCATTTCCATTCCATTCCATTCCATTCCATTCCATTCCATTCCAGTCCAGTCCATTCCAGTCCACTCCATTCCATTGCACTCCACTGCGCTCCACTCCACTCCACTCCGTTCCACTCCATTCCATGCCATTCCATGCCATGCCATGCCATGCCATGGCGTGCCATGGCGTGCCATGACATGCCATGCCATGCCGTGCCGTGCCGTGCCGTGCCGTGCCATACCATGCCACTCCACTCCACTCCACTCCACTCCACTCCACTCCACTCCACTCCACTCCGCTCCCCTCCACTCCACTCCACTCCACCCCACCCCACTCCACTCCACTCCACTCCACTCCACTCCACTCCACTCCACTCCACTCCACTCCACTCCACTCCACTCCACTCCACTCCATCCCATTTCGTTCCGTTCCGTTCCGTTGCGTTCCGCCCAGTCCCGTCCCGTCCCAGTCCAGTCCAGTCCAGTCCACTGCACTCCACTCCAGTCCGCTCCAGTCCAGTCCACTCCAGTCCACTCCACTCCATTCCACTCCATTCCACTTCATTCCACTCCATTCCATTCCATTCCATTCCATTCCATTCCATTCCATTCCATTCCATTCCATTCCATTTCCATTTCCATTTCCATTCCATTCCATTCCATTCCATTCCATTCCATTCCAGTCCAGTCCAGTCCAGTCCAGTCCAGTCCAGTCCAGTCCAGTCCATTCCATTCAATTTCACTCCACTGCACTCCACTGCACTCCACTCCACTCCGCTCCATTCCATTCCATTCCGTTCCGTTCCGTTCCGTTCCGTTCCGTTCCGTTCCATTCCATTCCATTCCATTCCATTCCACCCCGTTCCATTCCATTCCACTCCATTCCACTCCATTCCACTCCATTCCACTCCATCCCATTCCATTCCACTCCATTCCATTCCATTCCATTCCATTCCATTCCATTCCATTCCATTCCATTCCATTCCATTCCATTCCATTCCATTCCATTCCATTCCATTCCAGTCCAGTCCAGTCCAGTCCAGTCCAGTCCAGTCCAGTCCAGTCCAGTCCAGTCCAGTCCACTCCAGTCCATTCCATTCAATTTCACTCCACTGCACTCCACTCCACTCCGCTCCATTCCATTCCATTCCGTTCCATTCCGTTCCGTTCCGTTCCGTTCCGTTCCGTTCCGTTCCGTTCCGTTCCATTCCGTTCCATTCCATTCCATTCCATTCCACCCCGTTCCATTCCATTCCATTCCACTCCACTCCATTCCACTTCATTCCATTCCATTCCATTCCATTCCATTCCATTCCATTCCATTCCATTCCATTCCATTCCATTCCATTCCATTCCATTCCATTCCATTCCATTCCATTCCATTCCATTCCATCCCATCCCATTCCATCCCATTCCATTCCATTCCATTCCATTCCATTCCTTTCCATTCCATTCCATTCCATTCCATTCCATTCCATTCCATTCCAGTCCAGTCCAGTCCAGTCCAGTCCAGTCCAGTCCAGTCCAGTCCAGTCCAGTCCAGTCCAGTCCAGTCCAGTCCAGTCCAGTTCAGTCCAGTCCAGTCCATTCAATTTCACTCCACTGCACTCCACTGCACTCCACTCCGCTCCATTCCATTCCTTTCCATTCCATTCCGTTCCATTCCGTTCCGTTCCGTTCCGTTCCGTTCCGTTCCGTTCCGTTCCATTCCATTCCATTCCATTCCATTCCATTCCACCCCGTTCCATTCCACTCCATTCCACCTTTCCCTGTTTTTCTTCCTTTTTCCTTTTGTTTCCTTTCCCCCCCCCCCCGCAGGACACCCTCAGCAGCGCCGGGCAGGGCTTCGCGGCCGGCCACCGACCACCCACCTCCCGCGACGGAGGCGCGCGGCGGACGCTTCCCCCCCCCCGCCCCAGTCTCCCGCCCTCCTCGGCCCTCCCCTCTCGGCCGAACCTCGCCTCTCTGATCCGCCTCTCGGCTGCAACGTCCCCCTTCCTTCTCGGCTCCACGGCCCCCCCTCTCGGCCGAACCTCCTTTCTCTATTGCCCCCCCTCTCGGCCGAACCTTCTCTCTCTCTCTCTCTCCGTCCTCTCGAGCCCCTCCCGGCTCCACGCAGCCCTCCCCTCTCGGCCGGCCTTCCTCCCTCTTGCCCTTCTGCGCCGCGCGTGGGACAGGACAGACTGGCGTGGATCGGCCACGCGAAGAGGGGGTTCTGGGGGAGGGGGGAAGGCTTCTTAGAAACTCAGGAGAAAAAGGCCCCCCCACCCCTACCCTCGCCTCGTTTTCCTCTTTTTGGGCCTCCTGGGCGGCCCTCGTTCCCACCGCTGGATTCGCCTTGACATCCTGGTCAGAACGCGCCCCAGGAGAGAGGTCCGGGGAGCAGCGGTATGGGTACCTTTTGGCTGCCCCAGAAGCGCCCGTGCTTCTGAGGAGCCTCCCCCCCTTCCCCTACCACCTTGTGCGCACCGCCAAGTGGGAGTGCTCTGGGATTCCGCCCCTCCTTTTGAAAGCTGCGGGCCTCATGTCCTTGCTTCCGTGCTGGCCTGTTCTGTCTCTGCTGCAAGAAGCGTTCGTCTCATCTCTTACCCTTTCGGGGGGACGTAACGGTGGGGTACGGGCACAGGTTGGGTTAGACGAGAGGAAGACCGGTCTAAACGGAACGGCCACTGGAGAGAGATTTGCGAACATCCAGCTGGATTTGCTCCTTGTCCCCAACTTTGGATTGCCCTCTCTACAACCCCCTCGACCCTTGGTCCCTTGGTTCCTGGCCTCCCGAGTGGGGTCCTAGTTTTGATGGGATCGGAGGATCGCGCCGCATCGCCGATGAATCGGCGATGCGGCTCGATTTGCAGCCAGATGTTCTCCATGCCGACGTCACCGATGCATCGGCGATGCGGCGCGATCCTCTGACCCCACCCACTCGGGGCCACCGTTTTTACGGCTACCCGTTTCGGGCCCCATGTTCTCAATTGGGCCTTCCCCAAAAAGCCGTGACCTTTGCGGGCGCGCGTGCGTGCCGTGCAGCGCGCGAGGAAGGCATTGAGAGCCTCCTCCCTCTCCCCCCTTGCCCTCCCCCCTCCGCAATTACACAATATGAATACTACTCTCCTCTCTCCTTTTGTGACGTCCGGGAAATGGCCAGCCCCCCTCCGAGCACGTTTTTTTTACACAGGATTTCCGGGAAGTGGGTTTTCGCTCTTGTTTTTTTTCTCAAAATGCTGCTCTCGTTGAGGCGCTGGCTTCATTTTCGGGCCACCCCTCGTTCCGAATCGTGCTCCCGCTGCAGCACTGGCCGCATTTCCGCGCTTCCGCTCGTTCCGAATCGTGCTCCCGCTGCAGCGCTGGCGTCATTATTTCCAGCGCCATGGTTTCTGGTCCTTCCAAATAGGCCCCAAAATCTAGAACATGGCCCGCCGAAAAAACCGTCGGAAGTGATGACGCATTCGGTGTCGATTCGTTGATTCGTTGGCTCGCAGAAACCTTCCCATTTTAGGTCTTCGCCACGCCATGCTATGTCAGACTACGCGTCCTCCGAATCGTGCTCCCGCTGCAGCGCTGGCCGCATTTCAGCGCTTCCGCTTGTTCCGAATCGTGCGCCCGCTGCAGCGCTGGCGTCATTATTTCCAGCGCCATGCCACGGCATGGTTTTCGGTCCCACTGAATAGGCCCCACCATCTAGAAACTGGCCCCCCCGAAACAACCATCGGAAGTGATTACACATTCGGTATCGATTCGCAGATTTTTTGAGCCGCAGAAGCCCCCCCCACTGTGGGGCGTCGCCACGCCATGCTATGCCAGGATACGGGTTTATCTTCAAGACCATGTTATGCAATGTAATGCCATGCTCTGCTACGACATCCGACTGTGCGAATAGAGAAGAGAGCTACGCCATGGTAAAGGATGGGAGTGAGGGTTAGGACGTCAGATATGACGCGAACGCACCTAGCTTGCCCTTCCCCGCCCCCTCCCCCTCCCCCCCTTTTTTCGGAGCTGAGGATTCGCCCCAAGCCTTTCTTCGACGCCGACTCCTCCCCCTCCCTGCCCAGTCGTGGCAACGAGAGCCGCCACCGCCCAGCACTGCGTCCTTCCTGCCATATTGGCCACGAGACAGAAACATAAAGGTTGACGTATATATGTTTCCCCGTTGTCTTAGCGCGGAGATTGAGTTTTGTCCGCCGCCGTGTCGTTTGCGTGCCTTGCTGGGGGCCGAAGGTAACCCTGCCCAATCAGCTCAATCAGGTACTTTGCCTCACGAGCGCGGTTCTCGCTCTTCCCATTCTTTGCTTGGGTCAGGGATCCCTCGCCAGCGTCGGACAGGGGCCGCCCTTGCTGCTGTATTGCTGTCTCGTTGTGCGCAATTGTCCCGGCTTGTACTGTTCATGAACGCCGCTTCTGCTGACAGGGTAGCGGCTTCATCGGCGTCGCAATCCAAGACACCACTCCCTGCCTTCCCTCGTCGTTCCTGCCGCCTCGCTGAATTATGTTTGATCGTCATGGCTTGAAGTGGAGACCCATGCCAAGAAACACCCTGCTTGCCTCCAGGGTGCCCTGGGCTTCCTGGGTTTCGATGGTTTTGCTACGGAAAGCGTGGCGCTCCCACACCCCAAATCGATGGACGTCCTGGGGGTCTCGGGGTTGGGTTTCTGGTGGACTGTTTCTCGTGGATGGGGCCCCTACTATACGGCACGCGCCCAAGACGTTTCGATGCCACGAGACTTGGGTCTGGAGTTTTGCCCACACCTGTCTCACCACTCACCAAACCACCCCAACCCAACCCGAAGGCCTAAAATTGCCCTCCATTTCCAGTGGGGGGGGGTCGGGGAACATTCTGTAAAAACACATGAAACTTGTACCCCCCCAACCAGAAATTCGGGTCAAATTCGGGTCTTCAGGTTGGGTTGGGGTGGTCTGGTAGGTAGTCAATCTCGGACTCGGGCCCTGCGGGCCCCGCGGAGCCCGTGGTGCGAACCCCTGGGTCCTGAGCCCAGTTTTCAGGGCCCCGCCGTGCCAGGAGAGCTCTGGCTCTCCCTATTTCACCGAGCACGTTCCACTACACGCCGGTCGTTGAAAGTAGGTATTTCTGGATTCCCGGATCTCAATCTACTTCAAGCGCCTTCCTACTTCAAGAATCGACACGTTTTTGCTGTGTTTTGTTATTCCCTGCGGGGGCCTGGACCCAATCCACTATATCCGCCTTCCTACTTCATGTTCTTACCTACTTCTTCCGACCGACGTGTACTCGCAAAGTGCCTACTCGCAAACGTCCGAAAAACACATGTCTGTTTCGATGTAATTTATCGCAGATCCACCGCGGCTGATCCAGGCCACTTGCGAGCAGGTACTCTGCGGGTAGTGGAACGCGCTGGTCTGTGCTGGCGAGTCTTGCTGGTCCCCCCTTCCCCTCCATCCCTGTCTCCTCTCGTCCTCCTCCCCTGCCTCCCCCCTCCCTCCCTCTCTCCCCCCGCTCCCCCTCCCCTGCTTTCCTCGGTCCCTGCCTCCATTCCCTTCCTCCCTTCCCTCCCCTCCCACCCCTTCCCCCCTCCCCTCCCCCCCTCTTCCCTTCCATCCCTTTGCCCCCCAAGACTCCCATTATCCCCCCCCCCCCCCGCAGGCGGAGCCCATCACCGCCAGAGGATCATGGCTTGCTGACCGCGCGCGTATGGTCGTCTCACTCCTCCTCCTCCTCCTCCTCCTCCTCCTCCTCCTCCACATTGTCCGCCTCCTCCTTCTCCTCGCCCTTCTCCTTCTCCTTCTCCTCCTCCTTCTCCTCCTCCTTCTCCTTCTCCTCCTTCTCCTTCTCCTCCTCATCCTCCTCTTCTTCCTCCTCCTCCTCCTCCTCCTCCAGGGTCGTCGTCGTCGATCTCCTTTGTGTGTTTAGCTGTATGTTTCTCCCATTGTGCACGCTCGTCCACGGCGGTATCATCCTCATCGGGAGTTCCAAAAAGCAGTTGGAGAGGAGGAACCGGGGATCCTGGCCTTTGAGAACCTTCCACGCCCTTTACTCCTCAGGGCTGCATGAGCCTTGGGGTATTCCACTTCGTGCCAGAGGCACAGTGGCGGATAATCCTCATCGGGAGTTCCAAGGAGACGTTGGAGGGGAAACCCTTGACGATCCCTGCCCTTCCCCTCCCTCCCCTTCCCTCCCCGCTCCCTCCCGCTTCTCTCCTCGCCCCTGCCTCCCCCAGTCCCTCCCTCCCTCCTTCCCCTTCCTCCCTTCGCTCCCCGAGATCATCCTCATCGCGAGCTCCAAGCAAACAGTTGCAGGGGAGACGGTGGGACGCCGCCGCCGCCGACGACGGCCCCCACCGACCCCCGCGCGGCCCTCCGGAGGAGTCCGGCCAGGGCCTGCGCCCCGAGCGCCAGCTCCGAGGAGGACCCGCCAGGCTTCGAGGCCGGTCCCCGCCTCCACTGCTCCCTCCTCCTCCTCCTCCTCCTCCTCCTCCTCTTCCCTCTTCCTCCTCTTCCTCCTCCTCCTCCTCCTCCTCTTCCCTCTTCCTCCTTTTCCTCCTCCTCCTCTTCCTCCTCCTCCTCCTCTTCCCTCTTCCTCCGTTTCTTCTTCCTCCTCTTCCTCCTCGCTTCTCCTCCTCTTCCGCTTAGGCAGTGAGGCAGTGCCAGCCATGGGGTTCGCCGAACCCTGCCACTTCCCACAGGAAGGTCTGGTCGGGCGGGACCCCCTGGTGGAGTAGAACGAAAACGAGAAAATTATGGACCGTGGTCCAGCATGGCCGATGGAGGGTGTCTACCGAACTGAATAGGAGGCTTGGCGAAGCTCACCATACGTTCAAGCAGCTACACCAGATATGGGCGCGGACGTCTACTGGCAATAATGAAAATACATAATATACGACAGTTGCGGTCTGAGCAAACTCTTGTATTCCTTAGACTCCGTTTGGCTTCTGAAGGCAGACCCTGCGAGGTTAGATGCGTTTCGCTGCAAATATCCACGTCGATTGCTTGGGAATTGTTTTCCTTCTTCTTCGTCTTCCGTGTCAGCAACGCAGAGGTGCTACGAAGAGCATTTGCCAAACAATTTTAACAGATGTTGCAAACTAGGCAGGTAGCTTTGTACAGCAAAATCAAGAACTCTTTATGCCCGCCGCTCGTGAGAAGAGGCGTCTGCAATGACGACGGCAGCCCCAACATTTGGGCAGGTCACCGAACAAGGGGCCGCCCCCGCCAGCAGTGGGCGAGTCAAGTGTACAGGCTGTCTCAGCATGTACAGCTGCGGTGTTCCTTGGGCCCGCCCTTCCCCTCCTCCTCCTCCTCCTCCTCCTTGCCGCTTCTCCTTCCTTGTGCCGATTCTACTTCACAGTCGCGTCTCAGGGTGCCCGCTATCCGTCTGTTTCGTTTTGGAGAGCTACCAAACGCGCACTCTTCTGCCCACGCGTCCCTCCGGATGCTCGACTCTGGTGGTGGTGGTGGTGGTGGTTCGGCATGACAGGAGGTAGGGAAAAAGGGGGGGACATAACAACAACATCATCATAACATGGAGGAGAGGAAAGTAGGGCTGACGCGTGGCAGGCTGTAGCTTGGCGGCGGCAGTTGAGAGGTGGGAGTCCCGGGCCTGTGTTTGGTCCCCCCCCTTCGGGCTTTTTGGCCCGATTGGGCCGGCGCCCTGGAGGGTGCCCTGGGTCCCCCTCGACTGAGATGCCCACTCAGGTCTCCCGCCACGTGCGGTGGCGGTTGGAGACAAAGGCGGCGTGGCTGGCTGCGGTTTGCGGGAGCTAGCGCCGGCGGCATTGTGCAGGGAGGCAGGGAGCTGAAAGGCGGCGAGGGTTTGTGGCAGAGTCAGAAGAGTTGAGAGGAGGTATGTGCATAGTTCTCTTTCCTCTAAGCTTGTTTTCTCGATGTCGTTGGCAGTGCGCTGGTTGTCCTGCTTCAAAATCCCGAGCATGGTGCCGAGGTCCCGCCCGTCTGTGGCCTCGCCTGCCCTTGTCTGCCTTCTGGGTGCTGGTGATAGTGTACAGTGGGGCCGCGTGCCAAGAAACCAGTTGGATTTTGCCAGGGTGCCCTGGGTTGCTTGGATTTCGATGGGCCCCCAATAAGATCTTGACGATTTTAGATCGACAAATTTGGGTTGTCACTGAGCAAATCGCGTATTTCAGGGTTGGGTTTCTGGCGGAGGTTTCTTGTGGCCGGGCCCCACTGTAGGCGATCTTTTTGGCGGTATTTTCTTTTGCGGTTGGTCTGCCTCATGGTCTGCATCTTCTGTGTCGCTATGTCGATCATCTCTGGCGTTCCTGATGTCGCGTTGGAGGGTGATGGGCTCCTCGATTTTGTTCTCGATCTCGTTCATGTAGATCGTTATCTGCTGCTGGCGGATCTTGGAGTGCCCGTAGTAGTCCTCCATGGTTCTTTGGGTGTTGTCGATCTCCCTCGCCTGCTGGGCCAGGGGCATGCTGTTGAGGACCATCGCTTTGATGAAGGCGATATGTGTGACGGCGTCGGTAGTAGGCAGGCCTGCGCTGTTTTTGACGCTGGCAGCTGCCGCTCTTCGCTCCTCAGTGTGTTAAATCTTTTACCATTCGTCCTTCAGCTTGTGGTCGTTTGGGGGGTAGCTCCCAATCGTGCCTCCTGACGTTTTTGTTCTAATGGCTATTGAATTTCTGGCAGTCGTCCTTCTTCTTGGGCGTCTTTTTTTCGGGTTGGATCTTGTCCTTTCCTTTGTTATTATTGCCCTTGCCCTTCTGGTTGTTGCTGGCGGGATCCTGGTGGTCGTTCCTACCTTTGCCGTCCTGGTGGTTGCCTTTCCCATTGAGGTTCTGGCTCCAGGTCTTGTCTGGGTGATTGTCGGCCCGCTGGTCCATCCAGTTGTGGTTCCTCCAGCGCTCGAGTCCTGCACCGATGGCTGATGTAGCGGGCCTCGGTGTTGTAGGTCTGGATTGTGGGCGGCTCGATGCTGATCTCCACGGTGGTTGTGCCGATCCCTGTCCGCTCGTGGTTGCTCTCCACGATGTCCCCATGACTGGATCTTGAGGTGGGTATCGTGGTGGTGGTTGCGCGCTGTGGTGTTCTTGCAGTAGTTCTCGTGCCTCGTGAGGTCGAAGCAGGACGCGAGCGTCAGCACGAATGTCGGCGTAGCCGCCCGTGCCAGGCGGGGCCGGGGGACCTCGGGCCCCGTGAAGTCGTAGCCGTGGGTGCGATAGTTGACGTGGCCCTGAGCATGGGGGCGAGAACAAGAGTATTTGCTGTGGATGTTGCGGTGGACATCGCGGGCCTGACGGGCCTGTGGAGGCCGCGCTGGCCGCACAGCTGCGGCCTGGGCTGCATATGAAGCGACATGTTCTCGGCTTCTTGAGTGGGCTGCACACGAGTTGTCCATTATCCCGAGTCGGTCTACGCCCGTGGTCTGTGCTGATGTCAATGATGGGGTGGGTATGCATAGAGTTGGTTCCTCATGGGTTTATGACGGGCTCCACACCGTGCCAGAGGAGCACGCCACCCAGGGGTTCGGGATTGGGCTTCGTTTTTCTGAACTACTTGCTGTGCATGACTTATAGATTGCGAATGCGTACAAAGGCTTTGCCCCAACCTTCTTCGGCCCGCAGGGAACCACGAGTTTTATCGATATAATCGCACTACCACGGCCTCTCGTCTCCGTCCTGAAGAGTGCGGGCCCATTGCATCGTCTTAGTCGCAGTTTACAGCTGGGTCGTTGCAGGCGTATCCTGGATCATCTTCTGGTACACGCGGCATTCCCCTATGCGCTGGCCGCTGACACAGTTCTAAATACGATGCCCTCGAGGGTCTGATGGGACTATGATGCCTTGATGATGTCCTTGAGGCGGGGCTCACAGCGTCGTGAATTCTTGGAGAGTATGGAGGCTCGAATAGCACTGGATTCTGCACACATCGTTACCCTTAAGCGCCAGGACACGGCTGACGCTCTTTTCGATTACCTCAACGATACCATGATTGAGATTGGTCGCCCCCTCTTTGCTCGTGATCGTGTCCGCCCCGTTCGTCAACTCGCCGCTGAGAGGTTAGAGTTGCTCGAGGCTAGGCGTCGTATTCGTCATGAGCTTGCTGCTGTTTCTGAGGAGGAAGCGGAGGAGGTCCTGGAGCGTCTTCGGGAGGTTTCTAAGGCTAATTCCAGATATCTTCGACGGCAGCGGAAGGAGTACCAGGAGGAGGTGATTGAGGAGATGAATGAGATGTGGAGGCATCGGCGTCTGGCAGAAGTGGCACGTCTGGCACGACAAGCATCAGGAAGTCGTTTGGGGCCAAAAAAGCGTGACTACCTGGGCGTCCGAGGGGTTGTCGAGACCGCCGAGGTCTTGCTCGAGCAGTTTTCCCAGGCCGGGCGGATGGGGGCATGCAGGCATCCCAGGTTTCAAGTTGGGACGAGTTTCGTGATGCTTGTAAGTTTGCTGCACCTGGAGCTCGGGAAATCACCAGCGAAGATAAGCAGAGTGCGTATGCAGATTTGGTTGGAATTCGTAAGGGGCTTCTTCGTGCGGGAGAGCGACGAGCGGTACCTGAGTGGGCTCCCCCTCTGGAACTCTGGTGGCTTCTACTGCGCCCCCAACGTAGGCTCAGCTCTCGAGGACGGGGTCTCGGTAGTCAGGTTCGGCCTCCAGATCCCGAAGGCTTCTGGGATGTCTTGAAAGCTGGGCTTCAGAGGATCCGCAGTTGCAGGGCCACTCCTGTTCGCTGGCATCGCAGTCGCGGGGTTCCCCTTCCACGCAAAGATCATCGCACTCGGTGTATTCGTCTCTTAGATCCTCTGGGTAAGCTCTGGATGTCAGGACTCATGGGGCAGCGGGGGCCTGGTCAGTATTGCTATGCAGATCACGGCTTCGTGCCTCGTCATCGGCGCGAAGAAGCCCTGTTGGTCCAACGCGTCGCAGGTTTTCACTTGCAGCGTTCTGGAATGTCTCACATTACCAACTGTCATGACCTAGCCAATGCGTTTGCGTCCAGCAGTTGGTCTTGTATGAGCACGACTATGCATCAGATGTTTCGTCCAGGCTCTGAGTCGTTTGGACATCAGCGCTATCAACGAGCTGCAGTTACCCTTGCAGGTTGTGATTGCGATATCACTCTTAGGCCTGGGTGCGGAGGCTTGATGGGGGGGCGGGTTCGCCGTGCGGAGCTTCGTTCACACGTTCGCCCCCGTCGTCGAGGAGTGGTAGGATAGGCAGAGAGGATGGGGCCCCTACGTGGATCAGCTCGTCGTTCGGTTGCCGCTGGGAGGGGAGGTGGATCTTTCTCTGACTAAGTATGCCGACGATCTCACTAAGAAGCTGATTGGAGGCCGTAGGACGTCTGCTGCTTCGCTTGCCATCGCCAGCTCCTACTCGAACCAAGACTTAGATGCGTGTCTGGGTCCTGCAGGGTATAAACAGAATCTGACAAAGCAAGATACTCTTTTAAGTTTGTTTGGGCGCG